AAGCCGTTCTCAAGCAAAAAGAAAGTGAAATTTGTAAATGTTGTCACGAACTCAAGAACATCTGTTCGCAGTTCAACTTCGTAGATGAGCTGAACAGTGTCATTGACACTATGAAGGCGAATGCTCGTACTCTGACATCAATGGAAGCACGAGATAAGGCTGAAGATATGATCAGAAATATTACTCAACTTGCAGATAAACTTTCCAGAACATAACCTAATCAATCTTTCCCATTCATGTTGTAGTCACAAATCAAAGAGATGCACAGCAGCTCATCATCATTAACCTTCTCAGGTTAAGAAGAGAGAGTTCCTCTGAGAATTTTTCCCAATCTTACTACGAGTTTTGAAATTTGTTTTTTCTTTTTGTTTGAATCATTTTTATCACCGAAGAAATTTTTACACATGAATCGTATATGAACTTTCAATCTACTCTAGTTTACAGTATATCGAATACAAGTATTACCGCCATCCAACTATCTCATACACATAGCTCGTCAACTTCAGAATAATCCTATTAGTAACACTTAGGATACCAATCAAGTCTCTTTCTACTATAAAAAGTATGAAACAGAAACATATATCTTTTGAACCTATTCTGATAATCATCTCTTGACAAGAAGACATTTCAATCAGCAGGGAGAAAGCCAGCAGTTTACTCACGTATAAGCCATCTGAAAGAGTATTCGTTTTTAAAAGAATGGAAAACTCAATGATCGAGCTATTCATCTTCCTAACCTGTATGTATTGCAATTAATGATTTTTGTCTCGAAACATCATTTTATCCAAACGAGAGACAGACCCAACACATGTGTGGGTGCGATTGATTACATTGCATTAGAAAGAAGACTTTCGGGGTATTTAATAATATTTTTCTAAATTTTGCAAAATTTTGTTGTTAATTACTATTTTTTAAAATTTCCTGATGAACTTCCATTTCTGTATTTGCTTTATCAGTCAGTATGCCAGCATAATCAGTAATCGATGACCTAATTTGTCCAATACTCTCATAATCAGGAAACGTTATGAGCTTCATCTCATCAGTATTCACTCCATTCAATATATTATATTCATTCGTTTGCTTTCTATCATTGAAGATTCAAACACATTTGATAAACTTTATTTCCTAGTTGTTATTCAACATTAACAGATAAGAAGTTGGTTGAAAGTGGTTTTCTCTGAGCTGCAAGAAGATACAATTCTATTCTGTTCTGTCGAAGCTTAGCCATGATCACCGTCCTCCAAAGAATCAAAAGAAAACTGTGTTAATACAATATGAATCAATAATCTATAGATTAAGGTTAAAGCAAATGTTTTATTAATTCTCCATTGTGTCACCTAATTTCATTCAAACAGACTATCTCAGTCATTTTCCAATTTAATGAGTCAGACTCCAACTTGTCCCATGACCGTTCTTGGCACAACTCAGCTCACTCTGTGTATACTGCAGTTTCTCTGACAAAGTTCCAGTGGGCTGTGTCTTGATCTTATTGCTCTTTCAGCTATTTTCTCCCAAAAACATTAGTTGCCAGTGCGCAGATGTCTTCCAGTTTAAGTATTATAATGTTGATTTCCTTCATTGATGCCAGCCAATCATAGTTAAGGACCAAATTTCCCTTCATCATATAATGACAACTTTGACTGTACGAATCGAGTATCCTCATGCTTGCACCTCCAAGCCAGTATACTTACGTAGACAGTTGATACCAAACAAAACCTCCTAAGCTTCAGAAAGACTTTCTCACCTGAGATCATTGACACAGTACCAACCCATAAACAATCATTTGTTATAATCCATTCTATATATTATTTTTATTAACAAACTGCAAGATTACAATGAATACTATAGTAGTGTACAAGGGGTCCATGAAGGATACTTTACCAGGGAAGGCAAAACGATGATGTGAGTTGTCAATCCACTGGGCTTGTTAGTTCAACATGGAAAAGAAGGATTGTTCATTCATATATACCTCTCAAACTATCTGCCCAGACTTGAATAATTTCAATCTTCTTATCTGCCTTGTTCCGCGCTTTGACTGTTTTTATTGAGAACGTGTCTTCATAATTCCAATGACACACTTGAGCTCATCGACGAAGTTGAATCCTTTACAGATTAGTTTGAGTTGGTGACAACATTCAAAAATTTCAATTGCTTTCTGTTCTACCACGTTAATACCAGAATTCCACCTGCTGCTATCAAACTCTATGACTTCATCTTCCATATCCTGCATCCACTCTGCTACGAGCAAGACTTCAGCAAACCCTGTCTTAATTTTATCTCTCTTCTTACGAATTTCTCCGAACACATCTGTTGCCACAGCATCAAGGTCCTGTACTTTCATTAAGAGGCTCAAGAGCAAGTTGCTGGAAATGTCCAGAAGTTTTCAAACTTCAAGAGAACAGAGCAGGTGGAATATATAGAGATGCAGAAAACCAATTATTACAATAAGATTTGCTTTAATCATCCCTTACAAATCTGTAACGAATTCGGTTTATTGGAACACATGGCCATAAAAGTTATGGACTTCATATTAGGTGCAGATAGTTGCGACGCCTGTCACTGTAGTCGTTCATACCACTGTACTACGAAGGAGAAGCCTGTGAAGAGAATCCGAACAGTTGAGAGTATTCTTCAAGATGTGAAAAGTCTTTATGACGAAAATGCGAGTCAAGGTATCCGTCTTAAGGGTGAGATCACCAAGTGGAGTACTGATATTGAGATACTGGAAGCCGTTCTCGAGCAGAAAGAGAATGAAATTCGTGAGTGTTGTCACGAACTGAAGAAAATTTGTCCACAGTTCAACTTCGTGGATGAGCTGAACTGTGTCTTTACCGCTATGATGGCACATGCTCGTACTCTTACATCATTGGAAGCTCGGAAAAAAGCTGATAAGATGATTGAAAATATCAAAGATATTGTAAATGAACTATCGAAGGAATAATTGACTGAATTTTGATTGTAATCTTGTACATTGTTAATAAAAATAATATATAGAATGAATAATAACAAATGAGAGTTTGGGGGTTGGTAATGTAGCAGAACGACTCAAACGGACAAAAGGTCTTGTGTAAGTCTAGCCAGTGTTCCAGTCATGAGAAATATAACAAAAGCAACAGTAAATTCAAACTTTAGAAGACCAACCACATAGATGAAGGAAGAGATGGGCTACGTTTTCCAGTAAGAATAATGACATGAATAATGTCAATTATTGGCCTTTGTGAGTACAGGAACTGGAATTTCATCTTGCTCTCCAGAATGAGAAGTATGGTTCTGCTCCAGGAACAAAATATATAATATTCACTGGTTTCTCACGATGTAATTGTCATTCCAGACATTTCAACGGGTTTAACTGCTCAAGTGAGCATCAAAATGGGAATGAAAATAATGGAAACTTCATTCTCTGATAATTCGAAAACGATCAACTCTTCATTTCGTTCAACTCGGCTGCGCACAAGCGTTCACTACGCGCAATCCTCAGGCACGTTTTAACAAAGCGCCCGTACATTGCACGATCAGGTGTATCATTGTAAACACTCTTTCTGCAGGCGGCATCACTTGGTCTGCTATTTGCAGCTAACTACACTTGTCAGTATGATTCCAATTAGATATAACCTTCAACAAG